AGCTTCCCCTGGAAGAAGAACGAATGATCCGCTCACGGCCCCTAGAGCCACCCTCCTCCCAGCTTAGAGGCTTCTCAGACAGGGAGCTACTTTAGTGAGGGCAAAACTGATGCCATGACAAGCTACAGCTAACATTAAGTCTCAGATAAGTCTCAGTTTCCAAAGCAGGACTTGCGGAGTCCTGGTAAACTGGTAAACTCCCAGTTGAGTAATTTGCCAAGATAAGGAATTGGGCAGTTGGGTCTGGCGGGTCATGAGGGGTCCCTGTACCCTCCTTAGAAACTACTACTCACCGTTGCCTAATTGCTGACCACCATTGTAATAGGGCCAATGATAAAAATAGATCAGTGTATAAACCACTCTTAGCTCTGAACCCTATATTAACCACTTGTGCTTTGGAGTCGGGGTCCTTGTCAAGACTCCATTGTGTTGGATGAGACTTGAACCCTAGCTCGAGCTAGGACTGGCTCAGGCTAGTAATAAAGTTCCTTTGCTTTTGCATTATTGTGTGTGGACTTGATCTCTCCACAGTTGGGGATCTGAAACTTGGGCAGATCACTTTCTACTACATTTTCCCAAACTCTTCAATGTTGAATTCATCACCAAATCTGTGTGTTGGGTCTTCAGGAAAGTCCAGTAAACAAAATACTTTATTACTGAACTAAAGGGAATACAAGGCCAAGGTTGGAAGGTATTGTGAGAGCAGAAGATTGTATGGCCAGATAGAGGGATATTGATATTGACTGGCTAGAATGTTCTGAGCTGGATTCTGGATAACCTGTCTGGAGGCCAAACCTGGCAGTGCTTAGAGCTATTCATGGCTCTGTGCTCAGGAGTGAGAGTTGGGGGAACCATAGGTGGCACTAGGGATTCAAACCAGGGTCGGCCACGTGCAAGGCAAACGCTTTAACCTCTGCAGTCCCAGGATTTGGGCACAACGCTGATTTAGGGCAGCTTTCCCCTCCAGGACCACACCTAATCCCATGACAGTGAGGGCACCTGTGAAGAGTAGGATGTGTCCTTCTACAGGCACCGATAGGAAGGCACAGGGAAAGGAGAGAGCTCTCTATGCAGACCAGTTTCTAAGCTCAGCGTGTCCATCGGCCTTCCTCCTTGCACGGGGAGACAGTGCAGGCGGTTTAGTGAGGCCACACACCAGCATGAGGTTCTGGGTCTCCTGATTCTATCAATGTAACACCAGTTTGAAGACAGGAAAGAATGCAGAGCTGCTCACGGCAGGATTCTTCCTTTTTCAGTTAGACACAGCACTTCTGAGCAGAACCGCTGCACACGCAAAGGGTAAGTGTTTCACGGGGTGGGGAAGACGACCGACAACGGAGGGCCCAAAAGACCTGGCACCCATGCAGAAGTCGTGGGCACAGATCTGCCCTCAAGAGGCTTCCGACAGACAGCAGAGCGCTCTTGGGGAGGGAATGCCTGGTGCTTGGTGCTTGCTGCCTCTGGCACCAAGAGGACGCTCCTATCCTGGGTACTTCTCTGGGGACAGCTCCAGAGGCGAGGTACATGACGGGCTCACCCTGCTTTTGTGTGTTGCACGCACAATGTTTATTATTGCTGTTTTTTTCCCCCTCCCACAAAGCCTCTGTCAACCAAAAGATAACTCACTGACAGCTCAGAGTATGTTGAGCATTTTTTTTCTTTTTGGGTCACACCAGACTATGTACAGGGGTTACTCCTGGTTTTGCACTCAGGAATTACTCCTGGTGGTGCTCAGAATCGAACCTGGGTTGGTGGCATGCAAGGAAAATGCCCTACCCGCTGGACTATCGCTCCAGCCCCACATTTTCCAGCAATAAAATATCTATTCTTTTTAGCTGTCAAGGCCACTCCAGACAGTGAGGGTCCAGTGGTGTTGGGAACCAAACCTAGAGTCCGTGCTCTGTCTAAGACAGGGCGCTCGAAGATGGCTCAGGTGAGGGCCTTCACCACTTGAGTCACTTTCTTTCTTCCAAAAGATTTTTTTTTGAGGAGGGGGTTCTCCCTAGCCATGTGCAGGGTGCCACAAGCAACCAACCTGACCAGATAGCTCAATGCTAGGAGCTAAGGTCCTGTTGCTGGCGTCTGACAGTTCAGGGGTGCTGAGGGCCCCCAGGGCCAAACCCAGGGAAGCTGGGGACGGGGTTCCAGGGCATGTCTGAGAATGTTGGTAGGGATGTAATGCAATGGAAATAGCCTAAAACAAGATTATGGTTGTGGCTCAGCAATGATATGAAGTTATGAATTTATGAAAATCTACTGAGTTGTACACCCCAAACAGTTGACTTTCATGAAATGGAAATTTGGAAATCATATTGCAATGAATCTGTGAGAATAAAAAAGTGACCAGACTTAGAAAGGAAGAATGGCAAGCTCAGACATGGAGATATAGAATGATTCAAATTCTAAAACCTAACAGATTGAGCCACCTCCAGACTGGACCTGGTTGACTGGCAAAGGGGGAATTCACAGGGATGTGGCCCAGGGACAAAAAAGAAGCATTTCAGGATTTGGTGTGAGGTTGCTCCTACACCTAACAGGAAGTCCAGATAAGTGGTTGAAGGCAATAGGAGAGAAACGGTCTTGGAAGACAAAAAAAATCCTTGATGGCTTTTCAGAATTAATGAGAGCATGTGAGTTTTCAATAAAGAAAAAGAAAATCACCAGCATCTAGAATGTTCTAATGAAACTGATGAACATCAAAATAAACAAACATAAGTAATCAATGCCAGCAAGAGAAAAGACATATTATCCACACAGGAATGAAAATCAGTCTGGCAGTGGGATTATTACCAGGAAAACAGCACCAGAAGACAAAGGAGCACAATCACCATTGTACTATGGGGATATAACTAGAATTTGACACCCAAATGAATGAATACCCCAAATGAGGGCCAAAGAAAGACATTTTCAAACAATATGCGTAGAATTCCCTGCTGCACCAAGACCCCCGCAGAAAGAACTATTACAGGAACTTTAATACACGGCTATATTAGTATTTACCATAAATGCACATGTATTAAATGTGGAGAAAATTGGAAAAACAACTAAAGCCTACAGAAGTATTAACTATAAATAGAAAAAAAGCTGACATGCAAACAGTAGCCCAAAGAGAGGTGGCTTATCCAGGTTGTGGCTAAAGATAACAAGAGGCACCAGGTAACCAGGCTCCATCCTGATGTCCAAGGCAGAATATAGTTTGAGAAACGCTCCTTTGACGGGGCCAGGGTCTCTTCAGTATCGCATCCTCAGAGTCTGAGATGTGCAGTACATGCTAATTGGAGCAACGGTCACCACTGTCATCCTAGCCTGGTGGGGCTGTCACTCTGCACGGAAAGCAGTCACGTCTCGCTCAGTCTCATGCCACTGAAGTCTGCCCGGGTGCCTGGCACACGAAGGAGCTTTGAGCTCAGTGAATTCAAACAGAGCCCAAGGACCGCGCCGTCCATTGAAATCTTTCCTAACTGTGCCTACATGCCATGACCCACCCTTTGTACTTCCAAGGCCTGCAAACTCAGAAACACCCAATTTAGCTCCTGATTACACAGAAGTGTCTTTTAGTTTTTTCTCTCTCCATTTCAAACCTTGTTTCCCTCCCCTCCCCAACAATTTTAGGTTTTTTTTTTTTTTTTGAAAATAGAAAAGAGGCCTTTTACACATGTTTAGCGCTTTGAATTAGTACTTTGGGGCCTGGGGGTGTGTCGCTATTTAGATGAATGTAGACTGCCAGGGCGCCCAAGGGGGACCCGCCTTTCCCCCTTTCTATCCTCAATAAAGAGAGCCCTGTCCTGAGAAGATGGGGGTGTTTGGAGCTAGAGGTAGGAAGGCAAAGACAATGAAGTTCTGGGAGGGCAGGGAGGAGGCAGCTACTAGCCAACACCGAGCCTGTGCTGTCTTCCTTCTGGCAGAATGGGGAGGAAAACCTGCCAGGGACTCTGCTGGCGGGGCGGGGAGGGGAGGGAGGAGGCGGGGGTGTGGGGAAGAGAGAGGGAGCCCCAAGGTCCCCTACCCGCGGGGCAGAACCTGATCACACGTACCCTCGGGGCACTACCGGTCTGCTCTGTCTGCTTGACAGCAGGAGCTGACGGTGCGAGCACAGGAAACCCTTCAGGGGAACAGCCAAGCCGCCCCCCGGGAGGCGTGTATGAAGGACCGCGAGGGCTGCAGTCTCCATCTGCAGCTCCGACCCGGCGACCCGAACGCCAGGGATGCGGGGAGCGTTCCCAAAGGGACGGGCACCCCCCCTGCTCTCCCCGGGGATGCCGGACCGGGCTCTCCCGCGGGGCTGGGGCGAGGAGAGCCGGGCTGACCTCCCAAGGTCCTTGGTGATCCCCTTAATCCGAGCGGGACTCGCGCTCCTCCCCCTCGGGCGCACCTCCCCGCGTCGCTCCCCAGTTTGATAGTAAGTGCCCGGGCCGCCTTCCAGCGCGGCGCCACGCAAGCCGCTGGCAGGCTACACACGACTCCAGCATTCGTGGCAGGAAGGAGATGAATCAAGCGTGGAAGAGCAGCCCGCAGGACCGGCCGGCTGCAAAGGACGGCGATGAAGGGAAGCCAAACATTCCAGGCACGGTCACTAGAGCGGTGGCAGCGAGGGGCGAACCCGGCACCCCCGTCCCCCCACGCACGCACACACACAGATACACACACACACACACACACACACACACGCACCAACACACACACGCACCACCCCGGGCAGCACCGATGCCGCGCGAGTCCCCGGGCCAGCTCGGGAGCACCGGCTCCGGAGCACCGGCCACCTGCTCCGCGTTTCCTCGGCCCGACTCTCCGTCTCGGCGGCTCGAAGGCAGGTGCCTCCGAGGTCAAGTCCACCGGGGTTTCGGCTCGGTTCCCTTACGAGCTGGCCTGGGGCACAAAGTTCCCGCCCGAAAGCACCCGGAGGTGTTGGGGGGGGGGTGTGTGTGTCGGGGGTGGGGTGGGCACCCCGCACTCCCTCCCGGGCCCGGGCCGCCGGTTCCGCGGCACCTCGCCCGCCTTACCTTGGTGAGCTGGGCGATCTTTTTGCACATCTTCACGTGCATGTCGGGGTCGTCGCAGTCCATCCTCCAGCCGGCGCCCCCCGGAGCGTGGCTTTGGCCGTGGAGCGCAGAAGCCATCGCGGCAGCGCGCCCGCACCCGGGGCCAGGCTCCCGTTGGAGCGTGTGCGCGGGCGTGTGCGCGCGGGGCGTGCGAGTGGGGGGCGCGGGCTCGGGGGCACTGCAGTCCCGCCGCCCGCCGGCTCTGCGGGGGCCCGCCCCCTGCGGCTCGGGCTGCCAGGCCGTTCGCCCCGCGCGCTGGCTGGCACGGCGTGCCCGGAGAGATGGGCGCGCTCGGACACGTGGGTGGCGCCCGGCCCGCGACTCGGCGGCGACCGTCCCCGCCCGTTGGCGGGCAGCCCCAAGCCCAGCGGGCCAAGCCGGCCGCGGCCTGGGGCAGCTCCCCGCACCTGGGCGCATCTGGGGAGGAGCCCCTGGCCATGTGCTCCGGGGCGAGGAGCTGGACCCACAGAGCTGGGGGCTGGCGCGGGCGCGCTCCGCCTTGGGGCTCGGGGCTGAGCCGCCTTGCACGGGTCGGGGTGGCGGGACCCCACGGGCGGGGCGTGCAGGTGAAAGCGAGTCTCAGGGACGGCCGGAGGTGCGGGGTTGCCAATGGGAAGCCCCCCCCCCACCCTTCTTCTATCTTGGGGAGTGGCCTGGGCGTTGTGGGAGATCGTGGAACAAAAGGAAGAAATCGAACGGGGCTGTCCAGGAGCTGGGAAGGGAAGTCTGCGAGGAGAAAGCACGGACTGTAGTGTAAAGAGGGGCCCAGCGGGAAAGCCCGCAGAGGTGGGAAGCTTGGGAAAGGAGGAGTTGAAGAACAGACGGAATTTAAGTCTGAGGACACCAAGCCCAGTGCAGAGACTCATTCACGCGCTAGACCTTGGGCCGCTTGGAGCTTCAATCCAGTTTCATTTCGGGTTAAGAGCTGCTTCGGAGAGTGGAAGGGATCAGCAGGCCAAAAATGTCTTGGTGGCTCACATTCTCTGGTTTCAAACCGTAAGCTTTTTTGGCTGAGTGACAGCATCCTGGCTGCATCTCCCCACAGTGTGAATTATGGCTTGATCACAGCAAGCAATCTGCCTAGCTAATATATTTCAGTTTATTATTATCAGGCTGTGGTCAAGTTTTCATCTTGATAAACAACACAAGCACGCTTCTAAGGGTCCAACCCTCCACCCTGTAGGTGACAACACTCATTTTTATAAAATACAAGTCTGTAATGACAAGCAGCTATTGTACCTGAAACTGTATCTGAAACATAACTGAATTCTAAATTGCTGACTTTTACCCTACATAGCTGAGGCCAACCATTATTCTTTTGGCACCTCATTTTATCTATTAGTATCTTTTTTTTTGTTTTGCATGGTAAATGCCATTGAAACTACTTACTGAAATGCCTGACTCCTTAGGCCAAAAGCTTGGCTGAAGGGCGGCTGGGTAGAGATGGGAGGAACGGGTAAAGACAGGTGGAGCCTGAAATACACATTTTAAACAAGCTCCCTAGGAAATTTTGAATTTCACTGACAATTTTCAGGAGTCTTTTAAGAGATACCACATTTTACAGGAATTCAATTCACGGCATTACAAAATGGAAATAAGCCTTTTGGGTCCGGAACTTGACCAGAAGTTGTTCACCATGTGGGAAAACTGCACCATCAAAGGCTCATGTTATTTGTTTCCTGTATTGAGTACTGGAACTGACATATTCATGGTGAATTCTATCAATCTGTGTGTGGGTTATGCCACAAGATTAAGCCTACCAGTTTCTGTATCTATATACATAGGATTTATCTTTCAAACTCACTGCTGTGAAATCAGACCAATTTTTTAAATGTCTACATACACTTTTGAAATTAGGAACTTCAACACAGAACCATGAATACTATAAAGAAAAAGGCATTTAGGTCTGAATAGGATGGAAAATCCTCTGGATTGTCATTTATACACTAAAACTTGGGCAGACATAACTTCAAGTTTTCATGGCTTTAGGCCATACCTGGCAGTATTCAGAGATCACTCCTGGTGGGTAATCACGGGATGACACATGGTGTCAGGGACTGAACCTTGGTCAGCAGCATGCAAGGCAAGTGCCTTGACCCCTGGACTGTCTTTCCAGGCTCAAACTTTAGTTATTTAAATATGACCTCCCTATATCCAGAGGTCAAAGTATTTCTAGAGAACTACACTTTCTGGACAATGAAGGCACTGGGAATACCCAGTTATCTATCAGGCCTGGCTGGACCACACTGCTGTAATGCAGATACCAGAAACAGGTCTGCAGTGGCAGGGATTTAGTAGTAGGTCCTTCTATACTGTTAGGAATGGAAAAAGAGGGCAGAAGAGGATTAAGCACCGGGCAAATCTGGGGATGGAAGAAGATTTAGACTGTTCACTGTGCTATATGCCTTGGGCTCATGCTCCTTCTTTTCACTTGACAGACTAGGAATAAAGCACAAAAGTCTAGGTATCCAGTTTTATAGATGTACTTACATGTGGGTCTGGTTCTATCTGACTTCAAAAGCTGTTCTTACTAGAGCTAAAAAATGCTGGCAGATAGATTTAAAAACCTGTTGACTTTCCCCCTTCAGTTATAGAAGTATAAGCATCTTGCCAAAGTTTTCTGTAATAACACAGAAGATATACATAAGACAAAACCATCCAGTCAAGAAAAATTTCAGTTCAAATGTGTCCTATTTTGGAAAAGATCCTTCCAAAATCCCTAAGATGTTCCCAAACATCTAGAAAATCTTTTGTGAATATACAGCACTGAATTTTTTTCTATTAACCAATAACCCGCTCAAGCAAATCGATGAACAACGGGAAGACAATGCTACACTGCTACCCAATGTAAGACTTGTGTTAACGAAGAAGTACGTATTGAGTATTCCATTATATAATGCTTCGTGTTTATAATGCATGTTTTTATTGAATTATGATATTCAATCAAGCACGCAACAGGGATGGAGACGTTACTGGCACCCGCTCGAGTAAATCGATGAATAACAGGCGATCAAGTGATCAAATTCAATAATAAAGTACAATCCCCCAAAAAGTATTATGAAACTCATTAAGTATAAGCTTGTGTGAAATATTGATGTTACGTACAAAAGAAGACCTCCAGGACCAGCCACCACCATGCTGAGACCACTCTCCGCACACATGAAGGTACTGGCAGAGGGACAAAGCCACGCGGGTTCCGGGGCCGAGATCTCCACGCCTACTCGGACTGGAGTCGAGCATCCTCCACCCAGATCCTCCAAATTCCAGTAGGCGGGGGTCACACCCACCACCTGGCCCCCTGGCGCTGTGTAATCCCATCAACGGCCAAGACTCAGAGACTATAAAATCCAGCTCCCGGAACCGCGCGGCCGCATTTGCGGCCGCACGACATCTTATCAGAACATCTTTTTATGATATCTTATTATCTCATTCCTACTCTGGACAAACTTGCAGGCTATCGCATATAGCCTGCCCACAGGGCAGAGTCTGGCAAACTCCCAGTGGCGCACCAAATATGCCAAATACCAGTAACAATGATGGGTCTCATTCTCCTAAAGAGCCTTGAATATAATCTCAGGGCTAGGATGAAAGAGACGTTACTGGGGCCTGCTCGAGGCAATCGACGAATAACAGGATGATGAATGAATGAATGAAAAAGTACAAAATGGTATATTGTATCTATATTAGCACTGTCACTGTAGCACTGTCCTCCCTTCTTCAATGATTTGCTCAAGTGGGCACCAGTAGCGTCTCCATTGTAAGACTTGTTAATGTTTTTGGCATATTGAGTACTCCACAGGGGAGCTTGCCAGGCTCTGCCGTGCGGGTGGGATACTCTCGGTAGCTTGCCGGGCTCTCCAAGAGGGACGGAGGAATTGAACCTGGGTTTGCCACGTGCAAGGCAAACGCCCTACCTTTGTGCTATTGTTCCAGCCCACTGAATCCATATTATACACTAATATTGGTAGACATAATTGTGATTTTTGCAATTTTAATAAAAGAACTCAAAGGAACCAGTTCTGGCAGGTTACTGGCATATGTAAAGACCTCTGACTCTGATTTCACCTCCCCTTAACTGGTGCGTCCCCTAGCTGTACAGCTGATTGATATAGCTGGTAGTAATGCATGAGCAAGTCACTGTCACTGTCCTCCCGTTGTTCATCGATTTGCTTGAGCGGGCCCAGTAACGTCTCCATTGGAGACTTTGTTGTTACTGTGTTTGGCATATCGAATACGTCACGGGGAGCTTCCCAGGCTCTGCCATGCGGGCAAGATAATCTCGGTAGCTTGCCAGGCTCTCCGAGAGGGGTGGAGGAATTGAACTTGAGTCGGCCAAGTTGGCTGCGTGCAAGGCAAATGCCCTACTGCTGTGCTATCACTCCAGCCCCACATGAGCAAGTTATTTGGATATTTGTCCAATTCCACTATTACTTCCAGATGGTACTATTAGCCCAACCCTTAGTGGATCTTGAGCATTAGTTCACATACTCAAAACCCAGTGGTGTGACTCTCCCCTCACCTCAAGAACATGCACACCACGACATTGCTGTGTATGCTCAACTAACAAATTCTTTTGCATTCTATAAAACACTCCTTGGAGTTTTTTCTTGCTCTGTATGACAAAACTCCGGTGTCTGGTTTGACTGTTCACTTCCATCTCCAACACAAGATTAAAATCTTGTCCAACGGTGTTGAGTTCTGTGACTCAGTCCCTGGCTCCTGATGGCAGGGTCATGCAGGTATCAAGGGGCTCTGATGGCTGAGAATAAACGGAACCTGGGTTCTTTAGGTGTGTGTGTTGTGGGTGTTGGGGAAGAGAGAAAGAAGGCACACATGGCAGTGCTCAAGGCTGACTCCTGGCTCTGTGCATAGAAAATCACTTCTGGCAAGGCTTAGGGGACCATATGAGCTACTAAGGATTGAGCCCATAATGGCTGCATGCAAGGCAAGCACCCTAGCTGCTGTACTAATGCATACTTTATTTTTAAACACTCATTGTTCGATCAAAACTTTTATAGTGAGTGAAGAAATAAAAGGAATGCACAACTTAAGACTATGTAGCACTGTCCTTCTATTGTTCATCAATACTGCTTGAGCGGGCCCAGTGACGACTCCATTGTGAGACTTGTTACTGTGTTCGGCATATCGAATACATCATGGGTAGCTTGCCGGGCTTTCCAGAAAGAAAAAAAAAAAGAATACCAAGGTTTCTTTAAAGGTAATCTGAGAGACCTAAGGTTCTCTCTGGGGGGGAATAAAAACAAAATGGTATCATTTGCATAGACATAAATACCTTGGAATGACAGTAGCAACATTTTTTGAAT